CTTCTGATTGCAGCGTGCGCCGGCAGGTTTGGACCCATCGGAAAGACTAAGCGGGAACCTTCTGAAGACCTGGTCCCAATGCTGGTTGAGCTGCACGCGGACGTCAATGTCCGCTGCAGGAAAAACTATTCAGTCCTTGCCTATGCAGCATGTCATGCAGCATATCGACAGGATTGGCACGCAGTTGAGTGGCTTGTGCAGCATGGGTGCAAAGATGCTGGGGATATCGCGCCAGGTGGCCGAACTGCCTTGCAGCTGGCAATATTAGTCGGGAACGGCTCCAGGTCCAGTTGGCTGCCAGACGTGACGATGGACCTTCTGCGGCTGAGAGCAGACGTGGGTGCAAAAAGCGAAGATGGTCAAACGGTGCTCCATCTAGCAGCAGCAGAATCCCGCAAGATCTTTGGTGATGCTTTAATGCCCAAGTCTATTGTTGGGGACCTCCTCCGTCGTGATCCTAGTGTTCTTAATGTCAAATGTCAAGCTGGAAAAACTGCTCTTATGATCGCAGCGGAGCATGGCAACGGAGAAGCCGTCGAGACACTGGTCGCACACAGGGCCGACGTCAACACAACATGCCATGATGGCCAAACGGCTCTGCACTTCGCAGCAGATTCTCCGTTTGTGCCAATTGATCAATCTGACATGTTTACGCCTATCCTCCGTCATGCTGGTGATAGTCTCAATCTCAAAAGACCTTCAGATGGCAGTACAGCTCTGATGCTAGCAGCACGGGACGGCAGCAGATGGGCCGTCTCCAGCCTTCTCAAACACAGGGCCGAAGTCAATGCAACAAACAAGAAAGGCGAAGCGGCTCTGCACCTAGCGCTCATGCACAAGCGTCCTGACACCTTGCGGAGACTGCTTGAAGAGCGCGCTAACATTAACATGGATCAACTCACCGAGTCTGGACACAGCCCGCTTGGCCTGGCAGTTGAAAGCGGTTGGAGCTATGCGTTTGACTGCCTGCTCCAAGCAAAAGCCGACATCAATGCAGTCTGTAGTGCAGGCGGCTGCCATGCTCTGATGGTTCGTGCAGCTCAATTGGGGCACCTCGCAATGATTGAGAAAATTGAAAAGCTCAGGCTTGAATCACATCAGCATATCAATAGAGAGGAAGCCTTGATCGCTGCAGCGACAGCACAGAAATGGAAGGCGGTGGAGCTGCTTCTCGAGAAGAGGGCCGCTCCTGGTGCGAGTACCGAGCTCCTTCTCGAAAAGAAGGCCGCGTTTGGTGCTCGCACCTATACTGCTGACAAGCGGACAATCCTTCACCTGGCAGTGGAGGCCGAGCAAACCGACGTCATTCAGATGCTCCTGAAGCTCGGGGCTGACATTGAAAAAGAGGATAGCTCCAATAAGACACCTTTGGATCTGGCAGTGACAGCACAGAAATGGAAGGTGGTGGAACTCCTTCTCGAAAAGAGGGCCGCGTTTGGTGCTCGCACCTATACTGCTGACAAGCGGACAATCCTTCACCTGGCAGTGGAGGCCGAGCAAACCGACGTCATTCAGATGCTCCTGAAGCTCGGGGCTGACATTGAAAAAGAGGATAGCTCCAATAAGACACCTTTGGATCTGGCAGTGACAGCACAGAAATGGAAGGTGGTGGAACTCCTTCTCGAAAAGAGGGCCGCGTTTGGTGCTCGCACCTATACTGCTGACAAGCGGACAATCCTTCACCTGGCAGTGGAGGCCGAGCAAACCGACGTCATTCAGATGCTCCTGAAGCTCGGGGCTGACATTGAAAAAGAGGATAGCTCCAATAAGACACCTTTGGATCTGGCAGTGACAGCACAGAAATGGAAGGTGGTGGAACTCCTTCTCGAAAAGAGGGCCGCGTTTGGTGCTCGCACCTATACTGCTGCCAAGCGGACAATCCTTCACCAAGCAGTGGAGGCCGAGCAAACCGACGTCATTCAGATGCTCCTAAAGCTCGGGGCTGACATTGAAAAAGAGGACAGTTTCAATATGACACCTTTGGATCTGGCATTGGGCAAGCCATTGGATCTGGCATTGGGCAAGCCATTGACTGAATCGTTTTCCAAAAGCAGTTCGCTCTTCATCGCTCTGATACGAAGCGGTGGACCTCTGGCATTGGAATGGCTAGAAAACTGGCCGGTACCTGCCGAAGTCCGATGCAGAGATGGCGAGCCTGTCGAACTCAAGCGAGCAAACCTAGGAGAACGACTCCGCGCGGTCATTGCGCCCAAGTACAAAGATGACAAAGACAAGCTCGACACTGTGCCCCAGGACAACCTGGAGGAACACTCTGATAAGGTCTGGGACTTTGAAGATCTGTGCGCCGCAGCATCGTAATTGTCGTCCGGGTTGTTCTTGCTGTTGCACAGCCGTTGCCACCGCTGCTGGTTATGCCGCCGCTGCTGCTGCTGCTGCTGCTGGCTGGCTGCTGCGTTGGTTCAGGTCTTGCTCTGGGTCTTGGCCTAGGCGTCGGTGTCGTCTTCGTTGGTTGAAGTAGTTGCTGTTGCTATTGCCGTGTGCCGTTGCCTTCGCTGTTGTTGTTTCTGGAGGTGGTGGTGGCGATGGCGATGGCTGGGGGTTGGCGAATTAGCCGCTAATTTGGAAAATCGGCAGCGAGTCTTGGGAGATAGGGCTGGCGCCCAAATCGTGCGAACTAGATGCTCATTCACTCAAGCTTCATTGGGAGGCCGAGGAGCCGGACCTGGGGCTAATTAGCCGCTGAATCAAAAACTGGAGCCCCGCCTGTTGTTTTGACCCCCCTTTTACAACAACCGCCCACATTACACCACGTTTCTACCACAGGTACGGGAATCTGCGCAATCCAGAGGGGATTCACGTTGTTCACATGGGTTTTGGAAAGGCTTGTCTGGAATTTTGAAGGGTTTGCATTAGATATCGAACGGTTCAAAAAGGGTTTGAGGGGAGATTGACGGGTTTTATGTGATGTTGAAGGGCTTGATCCATGGCTGCTGCTTTGACTTTGGTCCCAGGCCCTCAAATCCACGTCTGATGCTTTGGACATACGCACACAGAATCTGTTCATATCCACACAAAATCCATGGACATCCATACAAAATCGACACAAATACCTTGCAAATACACACGAAATCCACTGAAATACGTAACAAATCTTCACAAATTCGTTGCAAATTCACACAAACCCCTTGCAAGTACACACAAAACCCTTGCAAATACACACACACACACACCATCCATGGAAATACGCTGAGAATATTGAAAAGTCCTCTGCAAAGCACTATACACCATAGGCACCGTGTTGTTGTTGGAGGTAAAACAACATGACGGGGCTCCTGTTTTCGTCTCTACCTAATGTACAGACAAGAAGGCATATACATATACATATATATATATATATATATATATATGTTTTGACGGGGCCGCAGTCTGTGTTTGTGCCTTGTCGTTGTTGTTGTTGGTACAGACAAAGCAGCAGCATTTAATTGTTGTTACTCAGAAGCAATTGGGAATGCTTCCGGCGACCGCATAGGGTGCCTGTAGAGTTTTGGGGAATGCGAGCCATGGTTTACTACAGCAACTGCCCCATGATAGAAATGCGGTGTAGGCTGGGTGGTTGTTGTAAAGGGGGGGGGTCAAAACAACAGACGGGGCTCCAGTTTTGGTCTCTACCACAGGGTAGAGACAAAGTCCTGATTTCAATCGGGCCTTTGTCTCTGCCCTGTGCTAGTGACAAGAACTGGAGCCCCGTCTGTTGTTTTGAACCCCCCCCGTTTACAACAACCACCCACATTACACCAGATTTCCACCACAGGTACCGGAATCTAAGAAATCCAGAAATCTGAAAGGGCATGTCTGAAATTTTGAAGGGTTTGCACTAGATATCGAACGGTTCAAAAAGGGTTTGAGGGGAGATTGACGGGTTTTATGTGATGTTGAAGGGCTTGATCCATGGCTGCTGCTTTGACTTTGGTCCCAGGCCCTCAGATCCACGTCTGATGCTTTGGACATGCACACACAAAATTTTTTCAAAACCACAAAATCCATGGACATACATACAAAAGTCGCACAAAAACCTTGCAAGTGCACACAAAATCAACGGATATACGTAACAAGTCCTTGGAAAGTCTTACAGATCCAAGAAACAACACAAAATCCTGGCAAATACACACAAACTCCCTGCAAATACACACAAAATCCTTGCAAATGCACACAAACTCCTTGCAAATACACACAAAATCTATGAAACTAAGCTGAACATACTGAAAACTCCTCTGCAAAGCATTCGAACCCTATACACCATAGGCACTGTGTTGTTGTTGTTGTTGTTGTTGTTGTTGTTGTTGTTGTTGTTGTTGTTGTTGTTGTTGTTGTTGTTGTTGTTGTTGTTGTTGTTGTTGTTGTTGTTGTCGTTGTTGTTGTTGCTGTTGGAGGTGGTGGTGGTGGTGGTGGGGGGGTAAAACAACATGACAGGGCTCCTGTTTTTGTCTCACCTAATGTACAGACAAAAAGCAGATATATGGGTTGACGGGGCTGCAGTTGTTGTTTGTACCTTGTTGTCGTTGTTGTTGCTGTTTCTGGTGTTTCTGTTATGCTGTTTGGTGTTGTGTGTTTTTCTTGTGCGTGTTTTGGTTGTGTTTGTGTTGTTCGTCGTTGCCCCTAAACCCTAAACGGACTGTTGGCAGTTGGCTGTCAATGTATTGGTGCTGGTGCTGTTGACCAACTTTTCCCTGGTTAAGGAAGCCGAGCACGTACCTCACAGCCTTGAACCTCCCAACTTCCTGGGCCTTCGTCACACTTTCAACTTCAGAGAAGACCTTCCCCCGCGTGTTCAGTGGTAGACTCTACACAGCCCTCGTCCGAAGGTCCATTTTTGCGCGAAGCTATTGCGCAAGCTGGGCCTCCCCGTGCATCGTCAAGCCTCTCCATCCGTTGGCCCTGAAGATTTAGAAGGAGGCAGGGCTTCCTTACAGGGCCCAGAAAATGTCGAGTTGAAGAAACGAGTCGGAAGGGGTCAGGGACGAAGTGTCATTGGTGAAGTCATGAACCCTTCGTTTCTTCAGGTGAAGACGACGGAGCTATTGAACGCAGAAGCGAGCGGGGTCATTTTGGTAGACCCCGATGTGATTCTCTCATATATAAAGATATCTACGAGAAAAGCAGCGAATACAGTGAAAGCGTGGACCATCCTTTCGTTGTCGACAAGGTGGACATTGATCACTCTTTCAGTCGCATCTTCACCGCGCCTCCGGTTGTCGCTGTCAAGCTGCGAGTTTTGGAAGGTATATCCGGTGCGGACGCATGCCATTCAGGGCTCCTGCGGTGTCTTGTGGAGGCACCCAACAAGGCTGTTTTCTATACAGATGCAGTGGAGGCTGTAGTGTCAGCAGCTTGGCAGCAGTACCGGCTTCAGACCGTGCTGGAATCAACTTTCGGCATTCTGACGGTGATCCTGCTTTGCGTTGCTTCCTTCGCTTCCAAGAACGGTCAGCCTGCGTTCGCTGGAGCTGTGTGGCTTGGCATCCTTGCATTGCACATCAAGAGGACTGCGGAGGAAGTAGTGCAATACCTGTGTTTTGCGACACGAGTCTGGCAGGGCAAAGTCCACCGTGCTCGTTGTCTCGACTTCGACAACGCTGCCGACCTCGTTTACGTGATCGTTGGATGGTTCGCCTGTGTGCTGCAAATGCAGCAGGATGAGCTGGAAAAGCAAGCCGTGCCCTGCTTCTGTGCGCTGGCATGGGTTAGAGCTTTGTACACCTTGCGTGGCGAGTCGTGGCTTGGCCCGAGACTTCTTCCCATATTGTCTGCGATACAGGACACTAAAGCCATCATCCTGGTGACAGCAATATGCACCTTTGCAGCGACGCATGCCTATTATTGCCTGCAAATTCGCCAGTCGCCATCACCACTTCATGCCGTCTATGTCGCATTCTTGCAAGTGGTGCGCCTGAGCGTTTTTGATGAGTCAAACCTCGGTGAATTTGAGAAGTTTTATGGAGAAGACTTCAATATCTCGGAGGGTGATGACTCCGACGAGTTCGTGGAAGACGAGCCGGGCTTCGACTTTGATTACGTGTGGATACATGGTCTGTTCCATGCTACCCGCATTGGAATTACGATTCTGTTGATGAACTTGTCGATCGGCGTTCTCGGGCAAAACTTTGAGTTGTATCAAGATCAAAGCCGTCAGCTTTTCCAATGTGCTCGCGCCAGGATGATGTGGGAGTTGGGTCGCCGACCCTGGAATCGGAAGTTCTGGACGAAGGCGGGCAGGGGAGATTTCTCAATTTCACGAGCGGAATTGGCACCAGGATAGAGGCTTCTAGTCTGCAATGCATGGACGACTGAGTGAGTTCTTGCGCTGTGTACCCAATCAATGGTTCATCACATGCACCATCCTGCCCTGCCAGGCGTGCAAGCAGTCCCCCACAACTGGGGCGAGTGCTGAGCAAGCCGACCAGTGCATGATTTGGCTGCTCACACGCAACGATATTCCGCCTGAAGGGTTTCGAAGCATTCGAACGGACTTGAAGATGCACATGCAAAAGATGGAGTCCCTGATTCGTGAAGAAGTCCGCAGTGGCTTACAGGACATAAAGGTCGAACTCGGGGGAGCCAGCAACACTGCATGACGAAATTAAGTTTTTTGCTTGTTGCAAGTAATTCATCATTGTACTTGGATTTTGGGCCACAAGAGACGTGCAGGTGCACCTTGCCTTCGCCTTTGCCCTTCCTGTTTATATTGCAGCCATATGCAGCAATTAATCTGCAGTCACTTGGACTGCTTGCCTGCGATGAAAACGGTTGGATAGGCAAAGTACGGCACACACCGCTATTGTTGCCTTACGGTGCTGCAGGTGCCTGCCAGCTGCTGCCTGTACACGTTGCACTCGCAAATGTCGTGAAAGAGCGTTGTTTGACCTTGTCGAAGAGGTCTGCTGTCAGCTTCCTGTACCTCTCTGCGAGTTTCTCTGGCCGGCCAGCCCCTCAGAGCGTGCTGAGACATGTCAGCTCTTTGTGACTCTGTGCCTGAGAAGCATGACCATTAGCTGCCGCAATGCTTGCGTGCACAAATGCCCAGGACGGTAGCCTGAAAGACCAACCTTCGAGACAGTAGATGCGACACTGTTATTCTCAAGCTCCTCAACCACAAGATCCTCGCCATGCATGTTGGCCTTGCTGGCTCGAGCTTTTTGCCAGTCTCCGGCATGATGCCGCGTCCGAGTTCGCATGGGATCCTGCTCCTCTCGCTGTTTCATCCCTCTGATTCTTCGCTCTCGCTCTGTTGGAGCGCCCCTGACTGCGTCGACCGCCTCAGAAGTCACCCGAAGGATGCCAAGGCTTGGGGCGAGCTGGGCTTCTACGGAGGGGGCATTATCGGCTCCCGGCATTTCTCTCCGAAAGACTGCGAACTTCGAGCCCTGGAGCTGGATGCGACGGTCGCCGCCTTTTGGTACAACTTGGGAGTCATCGGCGGCGGCCGAACAGAGGGGAGGTGGTATTCCGAAAAGGCCTGCTTTCAGAAGGCCCTGGGCCTAGATCCCAAGGACGCCAACGCCTGGGACGAGCTGGGAGCCGTGGGAGGCGGCCGAGTTGCCGAAAATAGGGGTCCCTAAGACCCTAAGATACTACCCTAACTAGTAGGGCCCGTATTATGAGGACCCCAAAATAAGGTACCCCCTAATTTTGGGAAACTCTAAACCATATAGAGCCCTATAAAGGAACCCTTATATTCTAGTGATTCTAGTAACCCTTTAAATGAACCCAAAAAGGAACCCCCTAATTTTCGGAAACTCCCAGGTGGCCGAGTGAAGGGGAGGGATCACAGCCCAAGAAACTGCTTCGAGAAGGCCCTGAAGATCGATCCTCAGTAGCTGAACTAGTACTTAAAGGATCATGGGACTTCGTAACTAGGGTTATAATTAGGGTAACTATACTTATAACCCCAGTTAGGGTACTTATAACCTTACCTTTTAAGTCCCCCGACCCTCCAAGTATGCACTTTACGCGGCTGGCGACAATAGTCTACTTTATAGGTTTCTGGGGGATAGTACGATCCCCTAGTTCAACTGACTTTTTGAAGTTATTGGGGGCTTATGAACTCGGCAATTAAGGATCCACATCATGCAGGAGCCTGGTATAACCTAGGTCTGCGGGGTGGTGGTTTGGTCAGAGGGCTGGGATACAGCACCCCGGCACAATGCTATGCCAAAGCCAGCGAGGGTCGCGATAGGAAGCTGGAGGTGGATCTTGATAGCTTATCCGATGCCGTAAAACAAGAAGACTTCCGGAATGTGGCCGCAGAGCTTCTGCTGGGGAACTCGAAGCTCGATTTCCGCGAGCAGATGACGGAGCTCTTCCGTCTTTGCCACCCGGCCACTGCCGAATGTCTGGAGAACGGCAAGGCACTCCAAGGTGAAAAGGAGGGAAATGTTAATGCGGACCCCTACCCACTATAATGGGCTATATAATAGGTATAAGATAGCTATATTAAGGGTATATACCTAGGAGTCCTTCTTAAGGGTACCTCCTTTTGCCCTTGGAGGCACAGACTGCTTATTGGCACGGGGAGTTGGCCAGAAAGCTGCCTGAAGCACCTTCCATGGTGTCGGCCATAGTGCTGCAGGGCGTGATCCTGGAGCTCCAGAAGCCCCAGCGGGGCAACTTAGGATTGATTACTTAGGTTGTTGTTGTTGTTGTTGTTGTTGTTGTTGTTGTTGTTGTTGTTGTTGTTGTTGTTGTTGTGTTTTGTAAGTTTTGGTTCCTATAATCCCTTAGAGACGGCCAAACTTCATAATTTTTGCTGTGGGTATGAGTTCAGTATAGGTAACACATCCTTCAGCCGCAGCTTGCTGAGCCAGGCCGTCTGTATGGCCCAGGTGCGTTGGGCAAGGAGTGAACGGCGCCTTGCCACCGACAAGGCAAGATCCCCTTGCTGCCAAAGCACCCTTACTTTGCTCGGTCGAAACCACCGAACTCAGAGACAGACACACAGAGACAGAGAGAGAGAGAGAGAGAGAGACAGAGAGAGACAGAGAGAGAGAGAGAGAGAGAGAGGGATCGAGAGAGAAAGAGTGAGACAGACCACAACGGAAATAGAATCATCACAACAGACAAATAATATTATGCAAATTATTTCCCTTGCGACCTTCTCGTCTGCATGCGACTTGCTGTTTTTTTCGCGAGTTTTGAGCGGCACTCGTCCTATGCTGCCCTGGCCCTGCAGGCTCCAGAAGCTTCCGGCGACCCTTGTGATGAGACCGAGCCGATGCGCCTCTGGAGCACGGAGCCTGCGGTCAACCCCCGAGGAGGCTGGCGCAGTGGGGTTGAGCAAGCACATGCGCGCATGCGCACGAGTTTTTACGAAGAGCCGCACAACAAACAGGAAAGAGACACCTCGTACCTCCCATCGATCTCTGTAAGTGTATATGGCATTATTTCTTTCTCTCTATCTTTGTTTCGTCTCCTAGGATTGTCCGTTTGCATACCCTACCGTGCTTGCACGGCAATGCTCGCGAGTTTGAGGTGCTTGGGCTCATGAATCTGGCTTGCTGCTTTTTGGATGTATGTGCGCTGAGAGGACACATGATGGGGTGTGCTCTCGCCGCCGGCACCATACTGGCAGCATCCGTCTCTCTGGTCTTCATTCTTCACCGGAGGACCCACGACAGTTGCTGTCCTCCTTCTTGTGGTGTTGGGGCTTGTTGCCCATGTGCGAATTCTGTTGATGACACTTGTACTTGGTATCTTTCTCATAGCGGCATACCGGTAGTGCAGCAGCAGCAGTAGTCACCGTAGTCGTAGTCGTCGTCGTGCCTTGTCGTATATAGTGGAGCCTCGTAGATTCGCAGTATAGTCATAATCCGCGCAGTGGTACATCGTGCTAGAGGTCGCTGATGCTGGCACGCCCGTGATGATGATAATGAGGAAGGAACTTGTGTTTGGGATGTGAGAAGTGATGTTGTGCTTTGCTGCATCCATCCCTGTCGCAGAGCGAAGTTGGAGAGCTACCAGCCCCTGCCACAGACAGACTGGGAATTCCTACATACAGAAGGTGCTGGGCCAGGACAGGGTGTTGGGGACGACGGGTGAGGGTTTCGGGCTTGTTGAGAGGACTTAAATCATGTCTTTGTGAGCTATAGAAGTGCAATGCTTCCGAACACCCACGAGTTGCAAGCAGCTGACCAGCACTTCTTTTGCACAGGTGGGGCGCGAGCAGGTGCAGTGCAGGAGGTCCGGGAATTACCCGATCATCTACTGCATCCGCTGCAGCGCTTTCACACATTTCAGTGCTTCCCTGGGGTGTGACGTCTCAATAGCCATCAAGGCTCAATGTGGCCAGCAAGGTGAGGAAAGTTCGTGCTGCTGGCTTGGGGCGTAAGGGTTCGATCTTCTGGTGAAGGTTTCGGGAGCATAGGATATGGTGGAGAATGCCACGGAGAGAAGTTAGGCATGGTGGGACTGTGTTTGGGCACTGGTGCTACCATGTCAACTCTCTTGGCTTTGTTCTTGCTCGGCTTCGTTGTGAAGTTGTGAGGGAATGAAATTGAGCTTAGGCTGACTGTGTTGGTTTCTAGGGCCGCTTCAGCGCAGGGGCGGAGTTATTTTCGAAGGCTCACTCAGGCCTCGTGTGCTGTCATAACAGCGCTGTACTCCAAGCCCTACTGTAGCTCTAATGTCGAAGAACCTGAGAAAAGCATCAGCAAACACAAACCACCCGTGCAAAGACAGCGAGAAACCCAAATTCTAAACTAAAGCCCTATGAAATGAGAGCACGTGCCAACAAGAGTTTGCTTCTGAGTTTCAAGAAAGGTACTGGGCCCCATGATGCTTATTGTTGTTGTGATTGTTGCTGCTGTTACTGCTAGTCTGCTAGTATTATGATTTGTATTTTGATTGTTGTTATTATTGTTCTCATGACTCCTACTTTTACATATCATTATCAAGTTACTACTGATGTGATTCTTGTTATTACGAAATTACTACTAAGGTTTTTACCGTTAGTTCTATGGTTACCACTGTTATTATTGCGTTTACGCTACCTTTTTCGTGTTGTTTGTTGTTAGTTTGTATTCTCAAATGCTAATAATAACAAGAATAGCAATGATTTCTATTTTTATCATTACTTACATTTGGTCTGTGTTTATGTAGTTGACGACTTGGTGAGCGAATTGTGCGCTGGTATGATGATTACGATGATCATGATGCTTATGTTTCCGATAAGACCTATGATTGTGGTATGACGGTGGTTATGGTTATACTATGTTATACTGTACTCCAATAAGTGGTGGTCCTAGACAAGGACTCTCTGCAAATGCATTGCTTTGCTTGCTAAGCGTCCTCCCGTGTAGAAAGCACCCACCAGCGTGAGAGTGTGGCAAGGCATTGAACCTTCGGAATCCGCAAGAAGAGTGGCTTAAGTCACGAGGACCGTCCCAAAAGCAAGGGACTTCAGTTTCGGTGGGCATCATGAGCAAGCCATGGGCATCGTTGGCCATGGGATGCTTGTTTCAACTCGTAGCCTTTGCAGAGTCCTCGCCTCTCAACCAGTTTGCCGTCGATATGTTCTTTCCCATCCAGAAAGCAGCTGAAGCTGCAGAGACGGCGAAGCGCACGTCGCTGGGCTCCTTCGAAGCATCCCCCGACGAGCCGGCACGGCCAAAGGTCCCTCGCAGGTTTGGTGCGACCATGTCTGTCGTCACCACAAGCGTCGGCGTTCCTGCCCAAGGCCGCGGGTACTTCGCCCAGGATGTGGACTTGAAGGCTAGTCGGATGGAAATCGTGGCACCCTATCTGCTTCCGCAAGTAACCACCAACATGACAACCTTGAGCGTTGGAAACGATACCTGGATTGAGACTGGGGGCAGCCAGCACAGCCAGGCGAACTGTCGTTCCATACCCATGTTTGGGCCACAAGGCTTCAAAGACATGTTTTCGTGGGCTTCGGATCCGGCGGTCTCCGAGTACATGGGTCAAGGGTCCGTAGGCGGACGCAGCTGTGCGCAGTGGCGATTGCGGGTTTCGAGTTCTATCATCAACGAGACTTTGTGTGCAGATGGAGACATCCCGATTGAGCTGAACATCTCCATGAAGAGCAGCGCGGGAGGTGTGATGAAGGAGTCGCATGCAAGCTATCACTTTGATCCGCTGAGCACTGAAGTCGATTCGAGCCTCCTTGAGAAGCCTTACATTTGTGATCATGTGGCCCCACCCTGTGAAAACGGGCGTGGCCTGGGCCCCGTGACTCTGGATGCTTATGTGTTCCATCCAGGCTTTTCAGCCATCGACTCTTAGCAGACAGAGTTGGGAACTTTCAATTGCTTTGGATCTGGGGCGTATTGAAGACGGCGTATTGTAGTCCTACCATACGTAGAAAATTAAGTTTCGGGGTCTGGGATACTCGGCCGCTCAGGATTACAGCATCGAGGATCAGAATGTGGCCGACTTGCGTGGTGATGCGCTCTTCATTTGCTTCTGGGTTCTTGTAAAACCATTCTAGTTTAAGTTACCATGTGACGGACACCGTAATAGCATACATATGATTTAAATACTAGTAGATCTCTATTCTGGTAAAGCAAAAAGTCTTTAAACTCTAAACCCTAGCCCATTCTGGCGACTTAAACTAATTAAGCTCCTGAGCCACAGCGCAATCACTGTAATTACAAGCAATGGTTGGATAAGAAATGCAGGGGTACGTCAGGAATTTAGAATGCCTTCCAGCTGAGAAATGAAAGGTGCCCAACGTTTTGCTAGCATTTCTTATTTGGCTGGGTGGTTCGTTCTTTAATGCATTTGTTCTCAAGGGTCGAAAAGCCCATAGCTCTAAAACAACAACAAAACAGGGCGTTGCGTTTCCTTATGTTCGTGGATTCCAGGCTTTGGCTGGGACATGTGGAAATCTCAATCAAACTACGAGGAAATTAGGAAATGAAGCGTGCTCAACGCTGAGACCTGCATTTCGTATCCAGCAGATGCACTGTATAGATACCGATTAGTACGGCAATGTTAAACTTCATAGGGGGCTATTTGAATAGGGATTTGGGGCCTATTATAACAAGGAGCTTCTCCAAATAGCATTGGTAATTTTTTAACATAAACTATTGGGTGGGATATCCCAACCTTCTTGGCCTACTCAAAAGAGGGAATAAACCCTACACCTTAATCGCTTCTGGGAGATCTGAACCATATGGTTTTGGGTCAGGCTTTTTTGGGGTTCGTCTATATGGGAGTTTCCGAAATTTAGGGGTACCTTATTTTGGGGTCCTTACAAGAAGGATCCTACGATTTAGGGTAGGGTCCCCTATTTTCGGAAACTCCCATATCAAGCTACTTAAGCGCGAAACCCAGGCTTCGATCTCATGTCGAACCAAAGCTCCTTTGCGGACCACAACTACTCGTTGATCCTGGGCAAATTTTAGGATTTGGGACTCATGGGTTTGGGTGTTGAGGGTTCAGCGGTTTTGGGGCCTAGGGTTTTGGTTTAGAGGTTTAGGGCTTTGTGTTTTTTTGTAAAAGAGACAGAACCCAACTTGTAGTAGCTTGCGAAAGCAGAAATGCACCACCGCGGATCCCAACTCTCCAACCTTCGTGTCCAATTTCACCTTGCGCCAGCGAGTTTTCAGCATCAACTTAGTAGCTGAGTAGGTAACGTTTAACCTTTGGGGGTTTATAGAATCCTACTATAACTCAAAAGGTTAACCTTTTTTGGGCTAGGGTACTCGGCCACTAAGTCAAGAACCGCAGATTGTCATCCTTCATCGGACCCTACCCCCTTAACCCTATACTCCCCAAGCCCAAGGACCAGCCACTAAATCTGATCTACCCTAAACCCTCTGCCCCTATATAGCACACTATAAAGTTCTATAAGATGATTCATATATAATCAGGAACTCTAATACCCTTACGTAACATAATATAGTAGTATACATTAATATATGATATGGCAAAACAGTAAACCCAATGCCCCCATAAAAGGCTCTATTGAGCCCAAGGATCTCCCGCTACTCGCTTCAGCTCTCCCCGGCCTTCGGCCAGTATTCCGCTTGCAACGGCTACCCGGACACCAAGCCCAAGGGCCCGGTGTGTCTTGGCCGCTTTCATCCTTAGGGGTTTCGGGCCTTTGAGGGTTTAGGGTTCAAGATTTAGGGTTTAGGGCAGTTTAGGGTTTTGATTTTTTTTGGGTTTAGCGAAGAGGCCTTAATAATTAGAATAGGGCTCCTTCAGAGGAGTCTATAAGGGTTGCTAGCTTATCCTCAGGAGGCTGCAAATGTGATGAGACGCTCCGCAAAACCTGCCTGCACTTCAGGTGCATCGGCGGTGATACGCGATTAGCTGGCAAGGAAGCGCCCTTCTTCGGGGGCGAGGGTGAGAGCAGGTGCGCTGACGAGAGCCCCATGGGCTTCTGGTACAGCTTACCCAAGGCGGGCCACTGTCCCCCCGGGCAGGCGCCTTCGACAACAGCGTCGGAGTCAGGATGCACATGGTCCATCATCAAGCGTGCAAAGACCATCGACCAGGCTTGCGTGATCCAGGACCATAACTTCCTCGCAAGCTGCAAAGCAGACTTTGCGCAGAAGGATTTCACAAGAAGTACGGCTGCCCTGTCAGCTGCTTTCGAGTCTGAGGACTTGTCGAAGGGTGGTTGTCCTGACATTGGCGGACCTGATAGCAAGGAAGACGTGGCGTCTTTCGTGGTGTAGCCACAGTGCCGGGCACTGATTCTCCCAATCATTCCATGCATTCGAAGTCGGGGCTTCAGATGCCAGATGTGCTACAGCTCAGGTTGAGTGTTTCAGAGGAGAGTATTTTCGACAGACGTAGAGACGCGGCCATGTAAACTCTATAAGACAGGCTTGGGCACCGACACCGATGCAAGTAGCCCTGCTTGCGCAGTAGCGCACCGGTAAAGAATCTTCGTGCTGACCACGCGGCAAGCAGCTGGTGCACAGGTTGTGGCGAGTTGGTTGCGCTGATGCTTTGCAGGAAAGTGTCAAGCCTAAGTGTGTAGTTCGCAGTGGCTTTTGTACGAGTAGCGACACGCCACAAACAGCAGGCTTTCCGTGGCTACGGGTTTCCTGGCATCCGACAAGCGGACACTTGGTCCGCGGCCAAAATACATTGGAAGAGGGCGCTGATTTCTTGATCCTTCTGGTGAAATTCGTTTTTGAACATCTGCTGACATATGTTCCAGATTGAGCAGCCGTTTTCCGAACAGCACCGACCACCAACGATTTCTGCTTCTGCAGCTGCTGCGACGACGACGACGACTACTACTTACTAGTACTACCATTCGCAGCAAGCCTGCTGGA